ATATATATGTATATATATATATATACCCTATAAAACGAATTAATAGCTACATATTTACATTACATAATTGAGCATATAGTGATTACCTTCCTCGTCAGTGGCGGCGAAAGCGATCTGGGTTGAACCTCCACCCAGGTCCAGCACACCTGATGTCTGGGCCGCAGGCTTACCAATGTTCTTCTTCAAATAATTGACTGTTACCCAGGCATACGCACCTGTACACAGACGTATATTGCGAGTCCAAGCAAAATAAGTGTGTTGAGGTTCTTAGAAGGAAGGTGAGGTATGAACAATCAGCACAGCTATTCCTATCTTTACATATCATGTGTCAACAACATACATAGGTGTATTATATCTGTGAATTCGCGCGGAATGGGCATACTACGGTCACCAAGGCTCAACTAGCTTGTGAGTGACTACTTTTCGCGTGTACGGAGTTCCCGTCATTCAACTACGCACACACAAAGCCGTGAAAGCGCATAGTGAATGAGATACTCCGACACATATATAAACGTCTACAGCAACACACAGGTGTGTGCGTATGTATATAGTCACCCACCTTCATCATCGCCACTCAGAATACGACACATATACGGTCATCTGCAGTAACACGCACATGTGTGTGTATGTATATAGCCACCCACCTTCATCATCGCCATTCAGAATAAGACACATATACGGTCATCTACAGTAACACGCACATGTGTTTGTATGTATATAGCCACCCACCTTTATCATCACCACTCAGAATAAGACACATAAACGGTCATCTACAGTAACACGCACATTTGTGTGTATGTATATAGCCACCCACCTTCGTCATCACCACTCATGATAGAGACGTCATCGTCCACGAAGCTGAAGGGGAACTTCTTGAAGTAGTCGCGCACCCGTTGCAGGATGCGATCGGACCGTTTGGGGTCGATCATTCGCAGACCCGCCGAAGCACGCAATACAATGGGTGTCTTGGACTGGAGTTCTTTTGGGACCGTCTGCATGACTTTGTCCATGAGTGGGGAAAGATTGTCCTCGGCCGACTGTGTGGAAGATAAGACAACGGGAAGTGACAGGTTGAAGGGTAGAGCACGAACATATGCAGATACATGCTTGGATCAGCGGTATCTATAAGGACTTCCAAAGGAAGTGAAAAGGCCATACGCAGCATGCTATGGCTAAATTCCACCATACCTCATTTACACTTATGGTAGCTTATGCATATGTATGTAAAGTTATCAGCTATGTATGCGTATACAACTCATTACAATATATATATATATATACATATGTATATATATTTATAT